GCAAAATATTTTACAATCAAAAAGAACTGAAAAAGGAGACCGTTTTAGCTGACAAGACGTAGGGATGCCGCTGGTGGACCCACAGAAATTCTAAGCTCTAAAAGAACTGACGACATTCCATCCAGTCATCGTTTGGAAGAATTTTTCAGAATCTCGACGTGTGACTTCTCAATGCAAGCGGATTAGATGGCTGTAATAATGATTTTGTTTATACTTTTACACATTTTGGAGTAAGATTCTTTCCCACCCGTCTTCTAAATTGCAGCTTGGAGGTCTCAAACGTTTGAGCGCCAAAGTCGTACGCGATATAGTAAGGATCTAAGTTTTAGATATAACGCAGGATTGCACCTGCATTTGTAGAATCTGAATCATATGACGGACGAAAGTCGTCTAAATACAGCGGCAAATGCACAACACAACTTCACACATTCCAAACAGATGATCATAGAAATGAAGTGAAGGAAGCAAAGCGGAATGACATGCACTAGAAAAGACGAGTGAATCAACCTGATTTAACCGAGCGTAATTCAATATTCATATTTAGACAAGAATAAGTTACAGACATATAACAAATAGGGCAAGCAATTAACACACATACGATCGTATAAATACAGCCGGGGTTATAAAGTATTTAACAAGTAGAAAGCTGATGTTTTGAAATAATAACTTTGTTAATCAGCAATACAAAAGCTGGAGTCGAATTTATACGTTATTTTAAAATCCACAGGACTACTTCGAGCAATAATATTCAACACCACAAAAACACATTATTCTATGAATTCTCAACGGAATACCATACCATGTTGAGTGATAACCAAAAATATAATGAAACTTACTGAACTCAAAAATACAGAACATAATTAATAATTTTTGGTTTTTCACTTATGTTAACGTACTGAGTTTTACACTTATCTTGTTATTTTTATTGCACCGTTAAATTCTACCTTGTGCATCATTCCATTTCAAAAATAAATAAGATTTACTATGCCAATAATTTCTCTGGTGCTGTCCAAATAAGCATGTAAAGTATCTGAAGGAATCTCATTGACCCAGGATCCTTCAGAACAAAGAAACGGAGAATCACAATGAATGTTATCCAATGTTATGCACCCATCAATGATAACAACGACGACGAAGATCAGTTCTATGAGAGGTTGCAATCAATCATAAGGATGTGCTCAGGAAAGGACCTGACTATCCTGATGAGATGGCGATAAAGTTAGAATGGAAAACACTGGGTATGAAGATATCATGAGACGTTATGGACTGGGAGAGAGGAACGAGAATGGTGGCGGATTCGCACAATTATGTGCATTCGACAAAATGGTTATAGGTGCCTAAGTATTACCCACGAACGAATACACAAAGCTATATGGGTATCACCGAATCGCGTCAGGGAGAACCAGACAGATTATATTTGCATCACTAAAAAACTCAGGAGGACAATGGAAGATGTGAGAACCAGGAAACGAGCTAATATAGCTTAGGATCACCACATGGTTGTAGCCAAGATCGAACTGAAGATAAAAATGTAATAGACGGCATTACAAAGGCTGCATAGGGCCTTCATTCAAGATACTGACAAACTAGACAAATTCAAGATAGCTCTCAACAACAGGTTCTAAGCCTCACAGGATCTACTGAAAGAAGAATCTACTATGAAAGACAACTGGAAAGGGATCAAGGAAACACTAACGTTGACAGGTCAGAAAGTGCTGGGTCGTAAGAAGCATCATCATAAAGTATGGATCTCTATAGAAACACTGGACAAGATCCAAAAAAGGACGAAAAAGAAGACAGCAATTAACAACAGCCAAACAAGAACAGAGAAAATCAAGGCACACACTGAATAAACAGAAATAAACAAACAAATGAAGAAGAGCAATAGAGTCGACAAGCAAAAATACGCACAACACTGGTCACCATTGTAACCCTTTTTTTGTTTCAAAACGTCTCTTCGAAGAGCTTAAGTGCAACCTTCCTGTATGCGGGTCTTGTTTTTCCTGATAATCAGAATACAAAAGTAGCTCTCAAAGTTAGTTTTTTTTATCCAGCGTGTGTCTAATGAGTTCCACTTATTCTAAACAGAACCGGGAATTGGAACGGAAGGGTCATACAGTTCACAAATACTTGAACAAAGGTTCTGTTTGAATATAACCAAAAAGATTATGTTAGTGGAGCTGATCTCACTTTTATGTATTAAGAAATTGCAAAAATCCCAACTGGTTAATCTGAGTTATATCTGATGACATCTGAAGTCACCGAGTCTTATTATCTCTAGAACTCGGACCATGGAGCCTTGTTTGTTCAGAGAATACCAGTCCTATACAACTCGCCCACATCAAGGCGCTGTGCCATAAACTGACCACCTGTACTTTCTCCGTCCAGTCCCAGCGTCGGCAAATAATGGGTAATATAAAAGTCACTGTGGTGATATTAGTAAAATTATATCTAAGGCACTGAAGCTGGTTTTTAAGTTAGTGATACTAACTGGTTTGTTACTGCCAGAACACATGTTAGCGAACTTCAGTATTACTAACATAGTATTACGACTGGGGGTCACAAACCCTTCGAAGGTATTAATCGCACATAGTTGCTAAACCTCAACTCAGAGTCCAGTTTTCATAACCACAGGACGAAACTGCTCTCGTCGACTCATCGTAAACATAACAGCCAGACTAAGTCACGACAGTGTCAAAGAAGGCCTGGATTAACACAGTGTCACTCTGGCTTCCACTATTTGTAAAGTTATTTCATCTTTCATGTCACTACCAGCACGCATTCGTACTCACATACACAAAGTTTTTGACTACCAACATGTGACCACAAAGAGTGAATACAGACGGGCTTCTGTCAGTTTTGCAGAAGTACTTTGCACTTAGAAGTGTTAAGCAAGTGATCTCACGGATACTGATTAAGTCTGCTTTGGGATAGTTTTTTTTTTCGTACACCAAAGTAATTTCAACCTTATACATCAGTAAATGAAGTCTTATGGTCCAATGAATATTTATTCATAGTCCACTAAGTTGATCTGGTGTTGAAACGTAAAGGACAGTCAGACAAACAGAAAAGTAGTTGGAAGAAAGTTAGGGGCAGCCAAACCAAAACGTGACGTCAGTTCTTGAAATCACTAACTTCTAGTCTGAGCCATGTTGGTAGATGCAGACTACTTGGTTGGGGTCCGCGTGACTATCGTAACCAATGGTTGGAGACTCTTGGTGACATGGCTCAGAATCGATCACAATGGCGTAGGTGTATACACTCTGCATTCCTTTAAACTAAGAGACTAAGACCACTTCATATTCTTCTTTCTACGAATTAATTCTTTCTTCCTGTACTATATGCTTATCGCAATCTTTTTTTATATATTACCACCTCTGAATTAACTACTTTTATGAATCCGGTGTCCATCTTGTTGTGTTAATGAGGTATGGCAACTTGGACCGATACATATATGTGCCTGGTCCTACGTTGTAGCTGACTGACTGAATACGAATATCAAGATAGTCTTGCTGTACAGAGCTGGACCTTGGAGAACTACCACAACGATCATCAAAAATGTACAAGTATTTATAAACAGATGTCTACGCAAGATACTCAATGTCCATTGACTGAATACCATCAACAACACTCTTCTGTGGGAGGGAACAAAGCAGCTTCCAGATAAACAGGAAGTCAGGAAAAGACGTTGGAAGTGGATGGGACATACAGTATGGAAACCATTAAACTGAATCAGAAGGCGAACCCTAACGTGGAATCCTGAAGGGAAAAGGGGAAGACCAAGGAATACACTGCGTCGAGAATTGGAAGCAGACATAAGGATTGATGGCAACTGTAAAGGACTGCCCAGGACAGAGTTCGATGGAGAATGCTTGTGAGCGGCTTATGCCGCTCCACGAGGGGTAACAAGTGTAAGTAGTGTCAATAACTTGAACCACACATCAATAGTTCTTAGTAGCTGAAACAAGCACCTTGACTGAGATAAGTGAGAACGTAAGAGCGCGGATTAATTACACTGACCGAACTATCAATTCGTGATAAAGAAAAGATAGTACTGAAATATCTCGGGTGTTTCAAAGAGGTAATAAAATCAATTTTTTAAAGATACTGAATCAGGATGCAAGCAGTAGTAGATATAGAATATGACAAACGGTTATCACAGTAAATTTTATATGAATCACTATATGTTATTGGGAAGAAAAAGAAAATTACCTATCATCGAAATTAAATTCCACTGATTTATGATCAAATGGAAAACAGATTTATAATCAGAATTCTAACAATTAAGTGATTTACAAGACAACAATATATTTTGATAATAAAGGGATCGCTTACAAAAACACAATCAACAGACAAAATAAAAAGTATAGCATAATTTGATAAATTTTATACAGGCCATACATGATGAAAACAACTATAATAATGATAATGCTTACATTTAGTTTGGTATAGATGTAACCAATGCCAAAACAATAAACTATTCGAACAAACAAAAACTGTGTCTATTTTATCCATATGTGGGTGCAATTTTTACTTATAGAAAATTTAACTATTTTTTTTAGCACAGTCCTTTCAGTTTACTTTTAATAAATAAATAAAAAAGAACGTTCCCAAGAAAATAACACAAAATAAAGTTTAAACTGAGATGAAAGTAAAGAAGAAAGCAAAGAAATATAGAGATTGTAATTTGAATTGAAATAGAACAAAATACTGAAACGTAATTACACTGGTCTATTTGGTTGAAATAATAATAATAATAATAATAATAATAATAATAATAATAATAATGATAATAATAATGACTGATCAACAGTTGATATACACAATAAACAATCAGTTCACTGAGAATACAAAGACAAAATCATAGTTGTTTTAACAAATTTGAAAAAAACATACAAAACAAGATATCAACAACGATATAATAATCATAATAATTTGAAAATGTGAAAATAAAAAATAAATTAATTAGGAATTAATAATTAATTCATATTAACAAAATGATTGTGTTTTAAATAAAATTAATTATTTCAAGAAATGCAATTCAATTAATAATTAACAGTATTTTCGTTTTCTTTTAATTATTTACAGGTGAATGAATATACACACAGTTTTTGTATGGTATGACATAGATAGATTGAATTGAATTGAATAATTTGAATAAATGAAGATAAATATATTTGAGATAAATGAAATAATAACCTATTTAACAAGTCAATAATGTAAAAAACGAAATGAATGAATGCAAAAAGAAAAAAGTCACTTTATAATAGAATATAGTTACACAATATAAATAAAACAATAAGCTTCGTTTGAATACTATGATTACAATTATGTACATAACAGTTAGATGATACCTAAAAACATTATATATGTATATATGAGAAAAAAATTGTAAACAACTTAAGCGGAGGTTGATAAGTGACTAGACAGAAGTGGATAATGACGAATAAGTGTGATAAAGATTTGTTAAAGATAAAGTGTTATTGTTTAAGTTATTATTCAATGAAGTTTTGTAATGTTGATATCGTATTGTTGTTTAGTGATTCCGTAATGGTTTTATTAAAATTTAAATATTCCTTTATACAATCAATGCTCTCATAGTCGATTTTATCACTATTATTATTATTCAATTGAGAAGAAGCATCGGAGGCATTAAAAATAGTAGGTGGTAAAGAAAGATGAGATTCTTTTGAAACTTGTGTACTCATCAACTCTGATGAATGCGAATCCGAAACTTCAACTTTCTACACATAAGAATATAAATGAAAAAATCACATGTTTATCTATGCATGAAATTGTAATTAGAATGAAAAATACTATGAAGTGATAAGTTTAACCAAAAGGTGGTGTTGCTTACGAAATTGAGGGGACGAAAAGCGAATGTCTGGCGCCTTAATCGGGTTGGTGGATACGGGGGTCCACGTAAGAGAGTTTGGAAACCCTGATTCCAAACCAGTGGTGCATATGGGCTCCAGGGTCCTGAGAGAACAAATGGTATATGAACCTACTATTGGTCACCAGCTACCATTAGAATGCATCTCCTAAATTTGCTCCACCGCCTTGTGAATTAGATCTCTAGATCAAATGCTTGGGGTGTGGCCCACTAACAAAACCACCTGCTTCGGTATGGGCGCCTGGGTAGTATTTCAACCCTCACACAAACCAAATGACGAAGTGTGGTGCTTCCTTGTATCAATGTTTATGTGATTAAATAAATAAATATATTAAATAAGTCTAACCAGTACATTCTATTAATATACTTACCTAATGCCTAGTTTTATAATCAAAAAAGACAAGCGGATTTAAGTATGAAAGTTATGTTTTGTTACTTTATAAGTGGTATTTGATCTTTCTGTTGAATCATAAACAGACTGAACAGTTGAACAGAATATTTCTTTTATCCACATTCTATTATTACAAAAGGAAGTAGTGAGGTAAACTAGTCCTCATATCGGACTAGAAATTTTAACTAACGATGTATAGGAATTCAGCTCTACATACGTACGGACTTTCTGGTCATCATTTTTTAGTAAGGTTCTTTTCAACATGTCAGTCAGTTGGATTTAATCACTTCGGATTTATAAAGAGAATACAAAAGACAACTTGATTTTTTTCGAAATACGAAACAAACAACAAATCATTCAAAAATACATCAAATATTAATATAACAGACATGTACTATGAAAACATATGATGAAAAGAAGTATCTTGAATTAATGATGAATTACTATTAAAACGTCTGTAAATACTCTCCAACATATTTTTGAAAGGAACGTATGAATTTGCAGTAAATGGAGATTAAGGTACCCTGAACACAACCCCTAGCAAGCGAGCCCGATGATAGCAACTATTTCGATACTGTGATGGAACATGGCTATCATGACTACTCGATTGGGGTACGGTAGCCAAAAAAACAGAATTCTTGAAGTCACATAATAGTAAGCAAGTTGGTTAAATAGCATTAAAGCCAAAAACAGATTTAAATTTCAAGAGAAAAATCTTATTATCACAGAGTGACGGCAAGCAAGGTATTTCCTACAAACGACCAGTCCATTCAGTAATTTTTCCTTTCTAATGACAGTAGGAAGGGTCAGCGAGATTCACACTCCACGAGTTTTTCGATCCCTGTGATAAGAATTGAAAAGTACGGGTCCAATAGAACAATAAATGCTTAGAAAAAGATAGTGTGCAGCGGATTTCGAAAAGTTATTTCTATGGCTCTGATGTTATCTTTTCAGGTTAACAAGATGTTCAATCAGTAATCCAGTATCCCTTGCAGGTCACAAAAGAAATTTTCTAACACAATGTGAGCAATCAATCTTCTGCACATCTCTAAAATTGACCAACTTCGTCCTGTTTATAACAAAAATCATTAATTTGTGAATATTTACGCACTAATACAAAATTTGTCAAAATACAAATTCAATCTACTGATTATAATTAACTTTATTTATTCTTGTGTAAAGAAGGAACAACTGTAAAACTCCATAGTAAATTCAAAGATTTCAAACAAATAACTCAATGAGAAATTGCAAAGAAATACTACAGATAATGAAATAAATACATATTACGGATATCAACAATTGCACAGAAAATGTTCAGATTATCATAAATCAACTTGAACTTACTGTTGTCGTCTCACATATCGATTGTTCATTAACATCATTATTACTGTTATCAAGATTGTTTTGGTCTTTATCACAACTAACTGCCAATGAAAGTTGTTCAGATAATTTCCCTTGATCTGTCGCTTCTGAATTGGAATATGACAGAGGAAAATCTTGATTAGGCACAGAATCCATATCGTAAATGGTTGTAGACAGTTGGGAGTCAGCAGAAATATGATTTTGATCCAAATGAACAACAGTAACAGGAATATTTAAATCGATCACTTCAACATCATTTGACAAGTAATCTGTGTAAAGCAATAGATAAAATAAATCGCATTGTCGAATGATTTGTAGAATTTTACGGTGTGAAGAGTAATTATTATGAACCGCTATTGTGGAAGTAGCCTATGAAAAACTATCAACACTAACACAAACTAGTATTAAGAGTATGGATAACGAGACTAAGGATTTAGTGACTCACAATTATTGCGATTAAGAAGAGGATTTGTGAGGACAATCACTCCATAATTACAATCCGACAGTAAAATATAAGACATTGTACTGCAGTAATATACATTTTATTTTTAAGACTGGAATATGTACGGAGAGATATACGAAGGAAAACGGATAGAGTTAATACTGTTAAAAACGTCAAATGTGGCGGAAAACAGGTGAAATCTTTGGTTAAGTAAAATGACTGATTAAGAAAAATACTGTTTATCAAAAAAGTTGTGTCTGTTATCTATTGCTTGCCAAACATAATTACGAAAGGGATGGATGGGGCATAGAGTATTAATTGATAGGTCAGTAAGAAGTTAGTAAAAGTTTATTCTGAAATACCAAGTTTGAGGGACTTGAGTAATCAAGTACAAAGAGGAATAAAAGTAGAAATATGCTTGAAGAGTTTAGTTACTAAAAAAATATCTGCTTCTTACGTACGTTACAATTACCGTCTCTTATATTATTGAGTGGTGATGGTAACACGGAAATATTACATCCTTGTAAATAAATACTATTTTTTAGCTGTCTCGTTGAATATTTGTGGGAAAAGTTGTGGGATATCGCCAAACACTGCTGGTAGTTCTGTTAATTTACTTTAAAAATTCTTCTATTTCTCGTAAACTTTGAACTTTCCACCCCTACTTTTCACTGGTTTATTTTTTGGTAATTTAAACTTTTAGTACCTCAAGCTACTTTTCCTCTCTCAAGATAACCTGCTAAGTATTCATAGGTGTTAAATTTCTGAAAATGATTACAATTTCAAATTACGGATAACTGGCGTTCCTCTAATACGAAGAAAAGCTAATGAGAACTCGATAGTACAGCCACTGATATACATGATGCTTCACAAATTACCCCCAAACAATGAAACCTATGAGTAAGACAAGAGTTCAGAGAAAGCTTGATATTCCAGAAGTCAAAACTAAGCTATAACAACACATTTTGATAAAGCAATAAGAAAACGGAGTTAAAATATTCGCGCTATACATTTCGAACAGTTTGGTCATGCATATTTGTCAAAACATTTTATATCAAAACTAATAAAGGCCGATTAAATAAACGTTCAAATAAACTGTAAATAAAGGAGAGAAAAGTTAATATCGGAATGATGAGAAATTATCACACCACCTTTGGCCGTAAAGTGGCTTAAAGATTATCAGGCTAGATCCAAGGTTGTCTGTAAACATAAAGGTTTGAACTTGAGAATAGTTCGTTTCTATAAACCTAAGAATTCGACCTTGAAAACGACTATAAAGCGCTTCAAAAGCTATTTTGATGACCTTTATTAATTTTCATGTAAAATCCCTTAACATATACGTGTGTGACCAGACTGTTCGAAATGTATAGTGCGAATACACCACTTTTCAGAACAACTCCGTCTTCTCATCCTATCAAAATATACGAAAGGAACTGTTTAAAACTCTAAGAACTTAGCAACAAAACGTAACGTTGGGACACAATAAAATCAGCATACTAATAGTCAGAAGACAGGAAAGGTCGTGTAGAAATATGAATTACCAAATATATTATTGCAGTTATCATTGGTGGATAGAAACGAACATTTATTGGAAAAAAACTAGATAACCTGAATTCGCTCTGGCAAACAGATAATTTTCTCGAAGCAGTATGAAATATCTTGAGATGTTTCGTTTCTTCACTTTCAACATCAAATATCTGGGATCTATCCGCGAATGATGTAAGCTTATACCTTGTCTTACCATATCAGAAATATAACTCTAATTATGCTTTTAACCCGTATTTCGTTCCAATCATTTATCATAATTTAAAAATACCACAAACTATTTTATGACAGAGAAATTTTGAGTAGGAAAAAAGTATAAAAAGTGGACTTGAAACGAAATTTACAAAACTTTTTAAAGCAAACAAAAGAGGGCTTTGACATATCTCAATATGCATGGACAAATACTAACAAATCTCAGTGTTGTTTATTTCTCTGCCTATGAACAAGAATTTCTAATTGTAATGATTTTAAATATTTAAGGCTAACCACATTATTAACAGGTGGATGAGCTTTCATACAATGAGTTACTCAATCCATAGATTTTTCAGTCATTTTTTAATACTTTGAGTGATTTCCTTTAGTCTTCAATTACTAAGAACAAATGATAAACGTTAACCTGAAAATTGAAAAATCATTTCACACAACAGTTGTCAGTGGATGATATCATTTAGCTGAAGTTTGACACTTTGACACCATTTAAATCTAACCGCTATCACAATGTCTTAACGAGATTTAGTATCTTTTTAGTGTTTCAGTAAATTTCTTGCATAAAATTCAAAACGGATATAAAAATAAGTATAGGTGTAGTGAACGAGAACAGCAGTCGGTATAATCAAATCTATTTGAACACAAATTACAGAATCTCATAGTGAAATCTGAGAATCATACAGAACAAACTTGATTTGCGAAATGTCAATCAACTGTCCCATACTTCATAGTTCCTTCATTCCCACACTAATCAATCACTGTTCTCGTTGTCTTTTCTTCGATCTTCTTAACCTTCTGCCGCCAAACATTTCACTTTCGATTGATGATAAATACTACTTACATCTGTCGACATCAATAGCACACACCACATAGGTACGAAAAAAGGAACAAGTATCCCATATAAAACAGATTGTAATGAAATTTACTGATCAAACAGAGATCTCATCCTTTACAGGATTGATAATAAAGGTCACCAGCTAAAATATTTGAAACAAACAAATCTATAAAAACGGCAACAGATTTCATTCTTTTTATGCTACAAGAGTAAAAACAGACTGGTGATACATACATAAACAGATAAAGTTAAACATTCACGTAAATACAAAGAAAAGTATGGTGAAAAAATATGATTATATTAGATGTGTTAAAGGTCTATATGTTGTTAAAATCACCGGAGATGAAAAATATTTTGAAAAAGTTTCTTTCCAATAAGACTAAATAAAGGTACACATACATAATAAGTATTGAAAGTGATTTACCTGAAACTGGTTGACAGTTTGTTGACATACCATCATAATGTGAAGAGAAGTATACAGTTCCTTCATTACTTTTACTGGTACTATTATTATTCACAATATAAGCACATGAAGTTATATCGTTTGCTAGCAATGCAGAATCAATATCAGTCGTGGAAAAATTCTGGGATATTGAAGAATTCATTTGAATATGATCACTGTTTTTATTCTCATTTCTGTTATCATTAGATGAACAAATTTCATCTGTTGTATATTCATAATTTGATTCACAATTAGTAGATATGATAGTATGATTAAAATTTATTTCATTAGAATTATTATTATTTGTTTGAGTTAATTCAACTGGTGCACCTGTCATATAATACAATATACCATCGGAACTCATAACAGGATATAGTTGAATAAAAGAATACGGTGTTAAAGATTCATGACTAAATGACAAGTCACAGTTTGTAGTTATAGCTTTAGTTGTATGTAGCTGATTGTCTGAACAACAAGAAACTGGATTTTCTATTGATGAATTAACTACAACATCAGATATGAGGGAATTAGTAGATACTAGACTAGAATTATGTGCATCGGACGACCATGGAATAGGGTAGACTTGAACACCGGGAATAGAAGAATCATTTGATAACTATTAATTCCAAAAAAAGAAACTTTATTAACTTGCAAAATCTTAACGGAGAACTATATATTTGTATATAATTTAATAGAAAAAGTCAGTACCAGTAGTGATCTGAAAACTCAGTTGTAGTATCTTTACTAGTGACAGTGAGTGACATCGGTTTGGACTGTACGAAGAGCATCGATTCCTTCAAGACTGTAGATATACCTTATTGACGAATGCTAACTTCTAGACACAGGGCTTACTAAAAACTGCTCCAACAACTTAAAATCAACGAAAATTAATGTGCTTGACAGAGAAACAATTCAGCATGGCAGTCAGTACAATTATTTGCCAAAAGAGCATTGATATTGTTATGATGAATTATGTTAGAGATCTTACGCTGGTACACAATATGTTACATGCTAACTCGACTTACCACTTGAGCTAGAAAAAGAGTGGAAGAGAAAGTCTATTGGGCTACTGAACAATATGCATAAATAGTCACATTTATGTACATGTCATTTGGAAATGAATTAGTTTCTTAGCTAATGATATGCATTTGTCCTTCAGGTTATACTTGGTTGTCATCAAGTGACCTTCTCGTCTGACTACTTTTGATTGGCTCACCGCGTCAAGTATGTAGTTATGAAGACTTATAAAGAACAAGGAAAACAAACTACACGAAACTTAATACGTTAGAAAGTGAAGACAAAAGGGGGAAGACGACGAAGGAGTAATCATATTAAGAGAAAGAGTTACATAAAAAATGCCATGAAATTTTAGTTCTGATAATTTGAATCTTCCGTGGGTTATAATAGCATTAACAGTAATAATATATGGGTCAGTTTTTCGTCGAAGAAAACACGTAATATAATAGTAATGGTGCTATTTCCTATTCCACAATAAGAAGAAAAGGCCTGTTTAGTGCTTCCAGGTTTTCCATGGTGGTCTAACTTCAATTGATTCATAAGCTCAACCATTGAAATTATTATAATATTCACAAAAACCCTTCTGATATGAATAACCATATGCTCACTAGTGACTGCCTTCAAGAGATACTCCTGGAGTTCTAGTGAGAAGCAGTGACCAGTGGAGTTTAACCAGGTCTCTTGCGAGATAGCAACTCACTGAAGACAATGATGGATATGTCGCTCAATTTCGTGGATTGGTTGAAGTCAGACATTAACACCGTTGGATGCCGGCTCAATGTTCTAGTGGTTAAGTGCTCGCGCGCGAGACTGACAGGTCCTGGGTTCGAGTCTCGCGAGGCGGGATCGTGGGTGCGCACTGCAGAGGAGTCCCACGATGGGACGAAACAGCCTTGGAGTGCTTCCAGGTCTTGAATGGTGGTCTAGTTTCAATTGACTCATGATCTCAACCATTGATAACACATATAAATCAAAGAATTGTATGTTAAGAACAGATTCAACGCATCAACGGAGGTAGACTGTTAACATCAATTTTTGGAATCATCACATGTAGCATTCTATGAGTGTCAAACAATGAACTATATGGTTTAAAAAGAGATAGGAAAAATTTATGCATACACCAAATGCAGGTGTCTCGATAACATGAAGTGTAATCTGATCTGATAAAAAAACACAACAAACACTTAAAATGATTGCATTTGTAATTTACTACTTACATTTTGTGACGTATCACTACTGTTACATGTAGTGAAAGAAATCTGGGAGGCATAAGCTGCTGCAACAGTGAGTAAATGCGGTGGTTTATTAACTGTATCATTTGTGTTGACCATAGAATCATAAATTACATGATTATTTATATTCATACCATCATTTTGGTTATCAGGATCATTATTTGCAGAGTGGAGAACAATGTTGGCTGAATTTGGATGAATATGCAGATTCCCGTTCGACGTATAATTTGATGAATATTTGCATAGTCCAATAGAAGTATTATTACCACCATCGTTCTTATTGACTTTTCTTGCCAATGATGAATTTTGTTCAGATGAAAATAAACTGTTAGTCTGACGACGAGCATTTCGACGTTTTGGTTTTAGATCCAGCAATGAAAACTGCATGGATGATTGTTTATTACACGGTTTAGGCTACATTTCCGTTCCATTTTTTGGGAAAAAGCAAAAAGTAATAATAAATACAAGGTACGATAAACAGTTAAACATCTTTCTAGTGAATATTCAAAATTGAATAGGGCTAGACTGATAGCTTCACAACATTGTAATCCGTTTCGATCCAGTTTGTAATGGTTTAGATTACCCAATAGTTGATATTTTGACTGAAATTTGATCAGTCTATTCTATGTAAAATTGCAAATAATTATTCAGTCAGTCATTTACAACGTAGGACCAAGCACAAATATGCATCGGTCCAAGTTGTCACATCTCATTAGCACAACAAGATGAACGTCAAATTCATAATAGTTACCACGATGATAGTAATATATAAAAGAAGGATTGTGTATAAGGATATAATACAGGAAGAAAGAACTAGTTCGTAAAAAGAAAGGTATAAAACAATTTTAATCTCACGGTTTAAGGGCAGACATATCTAAGAAAATCTTTTTAAATAAAACTAATTTATGATCAAATAATCATTATTTTTTATTAGTAGTAAGATATAACAATAAACGATGAACCAGAAGAGTTTGGTTTACAATTAGACATGAAAAACAACAATCGTTTGATAAATATTTATTAAACTTAATCAAACTAATTCATCAGAAAATAACCTTTCATGTTTCATATCTTCGTTTTAATGCTTATTTCTTCAGAAAACCCCCTAAAAGTATTTGGATAAAATAAAAAGCAAACAATTTATTTCTAATCTCAAATAGAGCAAATTTGTGAATGTGTGAGAGATAGAAATCTAAACAAAATATGTTTGTTACTATAGCTGTGGTGTATGCTACTTACATCTGTCGACATGAGTAAGACCGATTGGAAGTGGAAACCCTAGCAGTAGAAGGCTAAGAATACCAAGTTGAAGAGAATAGCAGGGAAAATAGAAAGAAATGGTGAATAGGAAGAATCACACAGAATGTGAAGGATAAATGATGGAATTTCGCAAATGAAGTATTCAATGTATGGTTCTCATATTTTCCAAGAGATTCTGTAATTTTATATTAAAATACATATTGGTTGTCCCCACCTGTGTTCTCGTTCATTGCATAGAGACAAAAAATTACTACAGCAACGATTTTTGTCATAAATGGTTGTAACAACAAAATGTCACGATGTTGATTCACAATACTTTATAAACTATTTGTCAACAGAAAAACTGTACTTGATTACGGTTTGAATACACGGAATAAGTTATTTTTAAATCGACGGCAAGTAGATGAGTTAATATATTGATAAATTACATGATATAAGGTACAAACAAGTGGTTAATTTCAATGTTTACAAGGAAACTGAAACATCAGTAATGCGTGTTATCGTTGTTCTAAGTTAGCTATATAAGTTCTCTTACAAGTGTAAATTGAAGAACTATAGTCTATAGTTTAATGATACTACAATATCATACTTACATTGGACATAGTAACACATATAGTACGATAATATAAATTATAATGATGAAATCCAAACTAACTAAGCAGTACAACTAGGTCACTACTTCTAAACTGTTTGAAAGTATAATAAACCTCCTTTATGGGTTAACGGACAAATGGTAATTATCATCATTACATTAATTTAAAAAATGCATTAAATGAACGTAGAATACAGTAATCATTATGATACTCACTAGAATTGTACGATATCGAGATTCAATGATGTTTTCTTTACGATGATTATTATTATTGCTATCAAGTAAATCATTCCTATAACTATTAACTGTATCATTAGATCGCGTGGATATTTTGTCTAAATTTAGCAACGAAAAAAGATAAAAACAATTTTCTTTAACTAATTTCTAGGTAAAATCCAAACAGTGGAGTATATGATACAATTTCAGTAAGTAATATAATTATGATTCTAAATTTATTCATGTAACTTGATAAGGCGAATTTCTTTCAACATAAAATGAGTGAATTAAATCTGTGCAGAGAAATAAGCAATTGAATGTAGTGATTCAGAAAACATAGTTCAGATTTTAAAATGTTATTCATTTTGTCGGATTTAAGCGAAAAACGTGCTTGCCTTTTAAATCATCAAGTTTGATTGTATAGAAGATAGTGTTATGTGACTAAGTGTTATTTGACTAGAATTTATCTTATTCAATAATCGAAGTGTTAATTGATGCATACATTTCTTCTTGAAATCAACATAGGGCAAACTTTAAAAATGCATCTACATAAAAAAAACTACATACATAAGGTTAAAAAGAATAATGAAATGTGTAGATATAGTTGTAGATTACTCGAGTAACAAACTTCTATTTAATAAACTGACAATTTAATTACTAGTTAAAGAATATATTTTATATTATAGAGCTCAAGAAAAGATCATTATTTATGACGTCGACAGCCACCTCTTTAGAACTAAGATACATTATCTCCCTTAAAATGGGACAAACTATATATTTTATTAAGGTAAAGATGTAGGAAAGCTATAATAACTGGATCATTAACCACAAGTCACTCCCCATACCTCTGTTTAGACCAGTTTGGCCACCTGTGAATGAGTAAGGTATGATTACTTTCATTCACTTTTTCAAAGCAAGACAGCTTCTTACGCAGTTATGTTTTTCCTATTTGTCTGGTTGAGTTCACAGTAGTTGAATTAGAATGTACAAGGAGGTGAAGCATACTATTTCACGTCTAATTTTTGGTCGAAAAAATAAGTATTTAAAAGGATTACTTGTCAGCGCTTTCGTAATTCACTGACACTTACGTCATGTGCTTAGATGCATTTGATTATTGAAGATGATCAATGATTCGGGTTCTTCATGCTATTCAACTAGATTTGACTTTAGGTACGTGTAGACAACTCATTTTACACATATCTTATAGACCAAACTTGAAAGGTACTATTTGAAACAGCATAGGAAAGTGGATTTCTAAATAAAGTTTTCAAACTAAAGGAAAGCAGCTTGTGACCTTCAAAACTACGACTTTATTAGAAGAAAATAAATTTTTTCATATATCAGTGTTCGAAATTGTACGCTCCTAAGGAGACCTTGAGATAACTAGTTTTTTTTAATAAATGTTGGTTCTTTCCTAACTACATAACTGAGATAACTTCTTTTCCACTCCATACTATTTGATTGGTTTTTGTCACTTCTAATTTACTGGTTTTATGGGGTCCAAAGGTCATTTCCTATTGCTATATACTAAGAGTTGTTATATTTCGAGTTTGACTTCCTTAGATATTATACCTTTTGTGTTGCGTACCGCGTTGCGTTGAGGATAATTGTTGAAGCATTGTGCGTCAGTTACCTGATCTATAGAGTTCGTATTAAATCCCATTAGTATTAGAAGAATCTCGTATTCGTACGCAGAAATTGCCATAAGCCTAAATCATAAACACCACACGCACTCAAGAAGTTCTTAAGCATTGCCTATCGTTCTATCTATGAAGGTAAAATATGCATTTTCGAGAAGGAGGTTGAAACAGAACCCTATCATGATCAGTCATTTTTATAACACTTCTAATAATAATATTAGTGATAACAAGATAGTAGATATGAAGAAATAAAGTTAAATAGTTACTTACTTGATTTATGCGCTCTTGCATGGATCTACAATGAACATAGACAGAATTTAGTCGATAATTTAGAAATCCTTCTTGAAAATAGTGTGAATATAAAACAAGCCAAGTTTCATTCAATTTAGTCAATCATAATAGTTACTTTACATTATTCCATATACCCTAGTCCATAAATACAACAGAGAAGAACTTTAAATTATAAATAACAGAACTGCATACACTAAACACAAACGTACATTTATTATTCAGTAAATAGAAATAACATCATTTTTAGACTTTAGTTATCACATTCCTCTTGCCTTAGGGGATCATGGTAGTACTATCAACGGTGTTATCCATTACTTGACGCATTATCCAAACAAAAGTATCAGGTGTCCATGCAACAAAATTATTGATGAGTTATGCAAGCAAAAAATAAATATGAATACATTTGTAACAGAGTCGTTATATCTCTTGAAAAGATAGTTAATTGGGGAAAAAACGAAGTTTCTTCATAATTACTCATCAACAAATTGGTGTATGGACTAAAATACTGCTTGAGTACTCAAACCTGAGAAAGTGGTCTTCTTAAGAGGTCATTCCCCGAGTCTTTGACCTAAAGGTCGGATCTATATGACAAACGAGAAACACTAAATTACGTTTTACGGTAGCCAGCAGTCAGAAACAGATTCATAAGCCAAGTTTTTTCGGGGTCATGAAGCGACTGTACTCTACTGGCCTGAAATCAGCATTTTCTAACTCCCTAAACCGAACAACCTGGAAATAAGCGCACTCATTACTTTGAAACAAGTTCATGAATTTAGTTTGACTCGTTCCGCAACTTCATTATCTCTGTGACATCCTTTTTAGTACACTCTTACATAATAGCACTATTTCACTAGATATGCAGGACAAACTGTATTCATCTTGATCATATTGAGCATGTAGTCCTACTATTTTGCATAATAAGCTCTTATAAGATAGTGGGAACAATTAATTAATAATCCACTTAATTAAAACATGATAAATATAATTATTAATTCTCTAGATATTAGTATTACAAACTAGCACTACTGTATAAAAAGACTCTGAAATAACTGATAAAAATGGCATTATCTTAAGTAACAGCAAACAGAACTTAACCACTGAATTTGTTGCTTTAGAAGAAAAACCACCATGGTAATAGAGGACACATTATTAAACATCATAATAGTAGATAGATATTTCGGGGTAAATTATTTTAATAAATACCGCTGCACTTAGTGATAAAAGGATATTTAGTAGAGTAACATCATAGTAATTGACGTTACTTCTCTTACTATACAGTTAATCGTAATGCTGGTGTGTTCAGATGCCAAATATTAATTTAATAAATATTTACTGAAACTATCTTTTGAAGTTTTCCAATCAAGCCTTAATTTTCCACGTTATACAAAACAAAACCAAATATGGAAGTGACAAGTGTAACTAAAAATACAGTTCTAATGCAATGAAAACACCATTCGAAAATTGTTAAATTACTTTGTATGCCTGACTAGTAGCAAAACTACGGTTGCACTGAGAGCATATAAATTCATAGTTTACAGTGGTGGATGAATATTTCTCAGGTGAATGGCCATCTAAATCAACTAAATAAATAATTAACCGAAAACAAAAGGAAAAAAACGAAAGATAATCAGTAGAAGTAATCGTTTTTTGATATTTGTGAGATAAACGGCATCCCCAATTGCATAACTTAGGTTACATGTGACAAAATCGATTTCAGTGATACATATACACTCATTATTTACATATCTTTAAATTGTGTTAAACTACTATTCTACACTTTCATTAGCTGACTTCATTAGTTTCACTTAGACGTAATCCATTATATTCGGTTTTCTGTTACATTCAGAGTTGGTATTTACACTCCTTAGTTGGTCATACTGTTGTTGCTGCGCTGATGTAGAAGGTGGGAACTTTAAGTGGTACAAATCTGTGCTGTGTTGAATATATATAAATTATTATTTATTCCGTAGTATTACATTTTCTATTTACTTTCATCCATCGCGTAGACTTGATTTTCTACTCTACAGTACGAATGAATTGTTTCCTTATTTTATATGCAACATTTTATTATAATTGCTGTATACTACAAACGTAACACAAAGGTACATAAACGTACTTTCGCAGCCTGGGAGAAGCATATATCTATTACAATATCTAGATATCAGTAAGTATATCAAGTCAAATCTGCAAATTTTACACCAGTACTAGAGAGAAGCAATTAATAAGACGAAATGCAAATGATTTAAAATGGTAACGTTACTGGTCTAAAGAAACTCTAAACAGGAAATATAATTTGAAAAGAATAGATGACAAGAAATAATATGAAAACTCAAGATCTAGAGTAAGATAATAAAAGAAACATTCCCATCACCATAACCGATTTTGAGACATATCTTCTGAAGTTTACAATTATATATGACAATTATTTAGCTAATACTAAACAGAGAATCAACTGAATTTGTCCAGTTGAGTTTCATTAAAAACAAAAAAGAAGATTCATAGTGGCAATTAAAACTCAGCGATCTCCGAAACCCTATACTGTTAATCTAAGCAGTTAAAGAAAAAATCAAAGTGTATAAATCAGATTTCACTGACAGTGAACTGAACATATAGTGAATAGCAACAAAATGTACGCATATTCCAATGATAAATCTAATAAACTCTATAATGTGGTTGAAGAAATAATTTTAAGAAATAACGAGTTAGTAGAAGCTTATGAGTGCTGGATATTGTTACTCAAACCTTGATGTCGATTTGTATGTATTCACTGTGAAATATCAGAAAATAACTGCTGTTTTAAATAAGTTACATCAATTTGAAATTGACGTTAGCTGACTTAACTATCAACGGCTGGAGAAAAGCAAATTCTACTTGCCAACCAATTAACAGCCTAATAATTATGGACAAAATGTTTCGTAAGCTGTAAATTTATCAAGTGTACAAAAATGTTTAATTATGTGACTTTCGAAACCATCATTTTAAATTAGTAACCGTGCCAAGAAGTTCCGAGTCACTTATGTATTGTCTTTATATCAATTATCTAATAACTAACATCATATTATTTAACTCTTAGTGTTAACAAGAATTAGAATCCAGAGCTTATTTCCGACTGACTTTAATCAACCTACAATGAATATGAAGTACCCTGAGCTATTTAGTAATTCGGGTTAGCGGTTATAATACAGGTTGATTGATAGGATTCAATCTAGCAACATGAACTAGGCATGAAATAGATCACTATTATATAGTTAAATTGTGCGTATTCTTCATATGACAAACGTAGTTTTGAAATAACTTTGAGTAAGAATGTAGGAAATCGGAAAGCATTTTGTTAAACACTGTAAATACCTGGTTTTTCATCAGAATGATGAGCTGGTGCATGTGATCGAAGAGTGTGACGTTCAAATGCTTTATAACTACTAAAACAACGGTCACAATCAGGGCATTTATGCTTCAAGGAAGAGTTTATTGGCTAAAATGGGAAGAAAACAATAAAGTTATAAAGTGATATGAAGACAAAATAAGCAACAAATAATACATCATCACAATCATTTACTTTTTAATGGATTTATTAAATTTATGTACATACAAATTCAGTAACTACTGCACATAACAGCCTATCGCTTGAAAAATATGATAACATTAATCCGTTTAAAAAAAAGTGGAATAACCACAAATCTTTGCCAACTTTCCGAATATACTGTTATAATTTGAACCCTTATGAACGAACTATCAAAAACCAATACATATGATTTTATGAACTAAAATTTCTACAACTGTACTAAAAACTATCCACTGACTACCTAAATATGTTAAGGATTAATTATACGCACAAATTTAAAAAAAATATTTATCCAGACTACTTTTGAAGCGTAACATTGCATTTAAAAGTTATAAAATGGATTTGTACACACGAGACAGAATAAGGTATTACTAATTTTTTGCACCTCTAGACTTTCTTCATTGTGTTAATGTAAACTGAAGCAACATGGACTAATACGAATATCCATGTATTATATTGTTGCTATGTTCTGTTAGCGAGATATATATTAGATTAAAGCATGTTGGAGAATGCTGATTAGTCATTTCTTAGCTAATCAGAGCTAGTTTATTATTTATATTTATTTAAACGCGTAAAAATTGGTACAAGGATGCACCAAATAGATATGCGTCACATGAATCATTTGATTGATGTGAGGGCTGGGATACTGCCTGGGTGCTAGTGGATACTCAGAGAAGACTCTAGAATCTTCTTGTGTAAAATTATAAACATACGTTTTTCTTGTGACTCCTACTTCCACTCAGCCTAGCTTATTTGGAATATAATTGCATTTTCGTTCAACCATGATCTTATTTGGGGACTCATTGAGTAAATCGAAGTGTCCGAAGAACACTAAGTAGTAAGAGTAGCTGAGTTGTAATAACAGAGATCATAACATATTGTTATGTCTATTTTTTGTATACTAAATTATCGTTATATACTAAATTATTTCTTTTTCAGTTTGCTTACAATCTATATATACAATCAATATATATTCAGAAACCTATATTTATTTGTTCATTATTTACCTACATCCCTTTTCCTATTTATTTAAATGTATTTTGTTTAAACTAATGAAAGTAGCCCATGAAGTCGTTGAAGAAAAATTAAAGACAATGTTGTATCTTGTTATTTCGAGTTCAGTACGGGCCTTTGCTGCTTGTGGAATTGAGAAAACGATTGAACTACATTAATAAAATCAGTTCATTGCGCAATCGATAACAGCAACTAGCATACAACATATCAACACCTGACGGCAAATACAAACAGATTAATTGTAGGGAAACTTGATGTTCGAAGTATAAAAAGAGATCACAAAGAATTCGTAAAACTACATATAAATAGTAATATAAACAATCAAGGGTATAGAAATTTAGTGATCTTAACAAATCAGGTGCTATCTGTGGGGTTCAAACCCGCGCTATCCAGCTTTACAATCTGAGACGTTAGCAGTGATCTATTAAGGCCGTCATCAAACTTTTTCAAGACTGAGATATTTACGACCGATCGATCACTGAGTAGAGACCAGGATCACATTTGTCTAATCCTTTAGATGTGACCAGATTTTATCTTTCAAATCGGAATTATGTACTCCGAAGTAAAAATTGGGCAAACAAAAGTATAAGCTGACAAATAACCTATCCAATTACAATCTTCCAGTGGATTATTGCGACAAACTTACATCTTTGGGTGAATTAGATGCGGATAAGAATGCCCCATATACCAAAGATGAAGTAGATTCATCATTCCCACCGGATATACCCACAGGTTTTTCTGGATTTTGAAGTTCTGGAACATTCGGTGCCGTTGTAGGTAGTGGTGGTGAGCTGTTTAAAGTTATCGTAATCTTCTTACGTGTGCTGTTCAATTCTCTTAAAACGGGAGAAACTGGTGATTGTGGGGGACTGATTGAATCAACTGAATTTAGATCGTTGGTAACAGGAGAAGCTTCATCTACATTTGTTGGAGATTTTGATACATAAGATGTTTGGCAATACAAAGTGTTTAAAATGTCTGAAGTGTGATCTTCTTTAGTATCAGAAGCAGTGAAGGTTGAATTATCAGTGGTTAATACTGACTCCAGACCAATATGATCGGAATCATTTGAGTCATCACATGAACATAGTTCTGAATACATTTTGCTCTGAATCTGGTGTCTATCAATAAGGTGAGTTTCAACTAAAGATTCATTATCTGTTCGAAAACCGGAACAAATACGACAAAGATATATAACTGATGGAGTGTTAGGTTGTTCCGTAGTAATATTTTTCTCACCTGTAAACAAAAGAAGGAAGCGCGAACCATAGTCGTAAGGGTTACATTTGCAGAAAAATAAGTGCAAAGAGAAGGATAGATTTGGCTAGTCTTAACCTTCATACTTAAGTAGGGGAATGGAGTACATATGGACCAAATATATTGAATTGGTGAAAACAATTGTAAGGCTTTGCATTAAGAACGAGTTTTTTTATCGTATAAAAATCGTCATTCCGTCCTTCAAAAACTAAGCATAATCAAAAAGAATATTTTCAAACGTCTGTGCTATTGTTAATTAAAAACTATGACTGTTAAAATCACGGTTATAGAAAATGCTAGATTACAGTTAATTTCGTTGAGACATTGTATATTGACAAGTATGGTTTAGTTTCTTGAAGATCATAAATGATTTATGTATGAAATCAAAAAGATGAATGTCATATGTTATACATTAACTATGTACTAAATAATAATAATAATAATAATAATAATAATAATAATAATAATAATAATAATAATATCCCCAGATTCCATTTGAACTACTTTTACCAAACCTGAACATTCATTTAACACGGCTTTTAACCTAAATAGTAGACAATGTAGAAAAATAAATCATTAAACTAATAATCTGCTTCGACGCCCAAAATATTTTAAATATGAGCCTTCATATCTACGTGGAAGAAGCCGGCCAGAAACGGGGTATTGCAAAAATCTTGTTTAGTAAGCAACGAAATTGAGATCGCGTAGTTAAATTTCAGGTATTTATGTTTAAAATGTACTACAGACAGGAAGCACGTTGGAGCACACTGACTAATCCACTTTTAACCAATCAGCGATAGTGGATAAGCAGAAAACACTCTGTAACCTCCCTACGTAAAAAATTATATATACAGTGACATTTCCTTACCATATGAACTTAGTTTAAACCACTGTTTTGCATGGAACATAATTACTTTCCTGTCTACGCTGTTTTAATTTTGGTATAAGTGGAGTAGGGTAAAGTGTTCAAGGAATACTGTGCAATAGAAGAATATCAGATCACATTGGGAGACTTAATAGTTACTTTTAACCTAAGATTGCTAATCGCCTAATTGATTTTGATTTTCGGTAGTCATTCAGGTAGTAGGCAAGAAATGAAGTGGTTGGAAGAATAACAAGGTCTAAGTTGAGCTCATTATGGCAACGCTGGTAAGTTGTTTAGTCAGTGTACATATCATTTTGATTTAACTAATCATGTTGATTGCCCTGAACTGTTTTCAGACATTCTACCCTATCGCAATAAATATCACACACGTTTAAGACAAGATACTCGGAAATCACTGCTACCGCTCAAAATATCGCTTTACGCCCTCAAATGAAAACAAGATCTGTTTTTTTAATACTATGATTCTCAATTTCTATCATTTGATCAACTTTTTATCCAATTAATTTTTTAACAGGTTTGATTGTGATATTTCGTTTTTAAAGTTTCAGAATGACAGATAGAAATAGAATCATTATACATTTCAGACGATAATCTCTGTATAAACAACGGCAAAATTTTCTTGTATTACACAAGTTATTTAAAGTTTTATAAAATATATGGTGACAGGTATGGTTCGTATTCTGCAAAACGGTACACATCAACAAGAGTGATACTCAATCCCTTTATTTTATGACTGTGAAACGTGGTCTTTAAGATTAGATGACCACTTTATTCAACTGTGTTGATGGGGTGTGACAAATTTAACCGATGTATAAACGTACCATGTTCTGCACTGCGTTTGACTGATTGACATTTGTAGGTTACTAATATTCGATCATAGGTATCACACAACCATAATCCCTATATCCTGGGCACCATCAAGTGATTAATCAGTCAGCCAATCGCGTGAAATGTGGGATCTAACCTATGTGTGTGTCGGTTTAAGTTACCACGCCACATCAGGACAGAGATAAAATTGACAAGATTAATCCCAGAACAGTAGAAGTAGTAACAGTACCAGTAGTAGTAGGAAACATTAAGTGTAGAAAAAACGAAACAAAAATTCCTAAGGAGATTTCGGGATTCAGAAACTGAAGGAAAGCAAAGAGTGAATGCACTTGAGCTATTGTAGACGATTGTAAGCCATGTCACCTAAAGTCTCTAACCACTGATTGCGATAATCAAGCGGACCCCCACTAGGAAATCTAAGTGAGCATTGCGAACGTTAAACACGGGGTACTAGCCAAAGACGATAAATCAGTTAATTAGGTAGTAAAATCTTTATCGAATAAGATGGTTGGAGCATGTGTTACGTATACCTAACCACCACTTCCCTATATGCGGAATATCGTCTGGAGTAAGATTAGGTGGAAGAAAGCTAGGGACAGACGAACCAAAATATGGAATCAACTCATGAATCTGTTGGTTGTTAAACCGAGCCATGTTGGTGTGTGCAGATTACTCGATCGAGGTCCTCTTAATTATCGTGATCAATGGTTGGAGGCATGATTCAGAGTCGGTCCCAATGATACAGATCCATTCACTCTCTTTTTCTATAAGTAGATCTTGAATTTAAAAGTAATTTTACACATTTTATTCAGTGAATTCATTCTTTACTCTTAAATTATATTACATGTTTGGTCTTTTTAATATCACTGCTATCTCTACAACTCCAGTATTCATTATGTTAACTTGATCTTACTGCACTGATATGCTGTGGCAGCTTAAACTGATGTACATTGAAGCTAGGTTCTACACTGCTCATGACTGTGTGAGTGATAATGAGTCCCCGTGAAAATCATTAAATTATCACCATAGTTACCTTCAGTACTTACAATAATCAATTATTACTTTGTTAATAATAAAAAAACAAGTTAGTTGAGCGAAACTATAAATATTGGATGAAATAAACGAATAAGCCAAACGGTAGCAAATGAATACAATAAATAGGTTGTGAACGGCACATCATAGTCTGAAATTTACCAAGCAAGCCGCTTAAAAAATATCGATTTATTTCTTGGATTTCTACGAATATTGTCTACAATAAGTGCATAATTTATTTTACCAGTGACTAACAAATAAGCTTATAACGACCAGTGAAACTGAAATATACCACTATCTTTGGAAATTTAGGACTAATTTTCGATGACTTTCTATAGGCCACAGAAGAAAAATCTATGTTGAGTACGTCAAATAATCAAGTATTGTTGACAAATATACAAGCTGATGTTCCAACTTTCATGAAGACTCCATGTTACAGAAACCAGCTCACACATTGCTAATAGATCTCTGATAACGATAAAGAACGGTAGACTCACTTGAATTCATCTACTATGGTTAAAGTAAACAGGTAGTATCATTGGCCCTCACACAAAGTGTGGAGTTCAGTTCACTTATACTTAGTTACTGTTATATTCGATCTGTTATAGGACAGAACTTTGTGAAAATGTTTGTTACATTGCAGAATACTCATGATTTAAATATGGAAAGTTTAGGGTGCCCAAGTCGTCAAATATTTAAAGACTCATGCAGATTAGTTAATTATGAGACGGATAATAAAGTTTTGCCAAATAAGTTAGTAAATTTCTTTAAGTGTTTTAGTGTGATTGTATGATGATTTATAATCGAAAAGAAACGAAAAACATATATATGATTAAAGACGGAAACAACTTACATTTTATCTTGATTATGTACTTTTTCCATAGGTTGTTCAGCATAGTCCACAAAATACCATTTGAACATTGATGGAAAACCTGAGCAAGGGTGAACAATAATTAGAAAAACAACCAATGATGTGCGAACTAAACATTTTTAACATGACAGTCAATTAAAGAATGTCAACAACACTAACCACAACAAAGTATTCAACAAAGTGATAATAACAGCAAAAGTAGTAATAAATGGACATCCTAGTATTAATGGATACCATTGAGATACCATGTTATCACCATAACAGGACTTCACCATGCTTGAATCGAAACCTAGAATCAAGTACTGGGCTTTGTACCATAGTTGCAGGTGCATAAACTTGAGTTCCAACCATTTAACAGATAACCAACTCACTGTAGCTGAGTTTACTTTCGAGATATTTACAACACTCTAGCTACAAGAGAGAAAAAACTAGAGGGAGGACATAATATCAGTGCATAACGTTGCTGACTATTGATCTGAATCATGCTGGTTGATGCAGAATACCTTGGAGTGAGAGGAATTTATTTATTTATTTATTTCAACACACAGATATTGGTACAGAGAGGCACCAAATACATATGCGCCACACAAATCTCATTCGATATGTGAGTGAGAGGAATAACTGAGATCACTCGCTTAAGACTGGGAAGCGGCTCAGAATCCGTCACAATGACACAGATGCTATTACTCCTTATTATCTTTATCTTTAAAACTCTAGTTCCCGCTCATATATGCCGTTCTACCGTCTTTTTTAACCACATTTTCAATACTCAAACATTATTTCGACAATTTCTGCCGTTCGTTCAGTTAGTTTTATTTCACCGTGCTTATATAGTATGACAACTTTGGCCAAAGCACATTCGTGCCAGGCTTTATGTTGATGATGACCGACTGATGGTTATTTCAAGCAATAATGTCACTTGCTGTAAAGTAATAAGCTACTAGGAGGATTTGAAGAACTAATTCAGGGGATGGAGTGCTATCGGAGAAAAAAAATCGAAAAGTTGCTTCACTGCAAATATCACTGTTATGTAAAAGCTGTATAAGGAACCAATCAAAATGAAAATGTGGATGAAACTCACAACAAATTAAGTTCCATACGAAAAACAGTCCAAAGCACTACATTTTATTTACAAAATGGCACTAACTAAACATATTTAAACAGTATAAAAGCCAGATACAAGTAGACATTTGAGAATTTTAAGACAAAAAGATAAAAATGACTTTATAAACGGAAACCCAGAGTTTTTACGGGAATCGAGTCAACGGTCAACAGGATGTATAGTAAACCTTTTGTACTTTCCTACTGCAGAGAACCTGAGAAACCATCGTTCAAATTCAAATTTCAAAGTACCACGAATAACAGTTGTGCACACAATGCATTGGTAACACTGGATCGAATTAAGAAACTTCTAACACTGTTGTAAACCACTGTGCCCGACTACCATTAAGTCAGTCAGTCAGTCACTGACTCCATATATTAAATCTCATTTAAATAACCCCTACAATAACTACAGTTTTTGCCGCTTTATAATAGCGACCAATCTTTCCACGTCAGTTTTAAGAAGTGTATTACATACTGCAGATAGCCATGTGAACGTTTGAATATAAGGTAATATCAAGGAGTATGGTAAAACTATGATTCACGGATGACCTTGAGGAGACCCAAAAGTGACCCTGATAAATCCCACCTACTCACTAAGGTTAAAAGAGAGTTATAAATTAGTATGGGGAATAAGGATTAGAATCTGAAGTTAGTCAATGTTAAGAATTAGAATAAGGATTTTAATTATGAACTGACATCAGTTACAATGCCGAAATCCCATTTAAACATATTTATGGGTGGACTTCGTGTCAAAATCAAACTCTCTATCTTTAATTTCATTGGTTCGACCAGAAGTTAGTCTTGCCAGAATTACTTAGTGCATTAGCATATATTGCCCTCGATAGTCTACAACTGATTTAACCGTATTGGCGTTAATGAACCAATAATCCAGTGCAAAAGTAAAAGAACAGGGATCTTTGGAACATTCTTATTAACACAATCGGTCTACGACTGAGAAGTTAAAGAAAACGGTAATGTTGAGGGGTTGTAATTAAGCAGCTTAACAGTAGAGATGTGAACATATGGTAACAATGTCTACTGTAAATATCTTAAGAACTGAATCAAATATAAGCAAAACAGAGCAGATTGATAATAGTGACTGGTTATAAAAACCAATATTTAATGCAGAAACAACTCGTGTGGTTAACTTCAAAATTAATATAAATTCGAAAGCCAACACACCATGAATCCGGTCTGTTCAGTGACGGAGAGCTTAATGAATAGTTTGACAGTTAATGCCTAAATAAATGAATTTAAAAAAGTCGTTATCAGTTACTACACTTTCAAACCAATAGGTTACAAGTTCACAACCTCACATGGCTACTTCAATTTTGGCGGATTGCCATTTAACATACAGTTTGGCTCCAACAGAAATAAAATCACCCACACTCCTTGACTCAGTTACACCTATAATGACACAAGACGGCAGTACACCCGTCTACTTTACTGAAACAGTTAACTCAGTAGACCTATTGTTTAAAAAAATGGTGCGCCTCATGTTACTTAACTCATCAGAATTGAGCTTGCGATTTTAAGCCCTAAAAACCATACTACCTGACAGACAAAACATAAAATTCGCACACATAATACGGCTATAGATGAAAACTTATATTTATACTTTTTTCCTGCGGCCATTAACTACTCGGTTTTACTTTTAGTAAAGTGACCCTTGCTAGTTAAAAGCAACCGAAACAAAAAAATTAAGTGACGGAAGACGATGTCAAAGTGACAAAAATATTTCATTTTACATTGTTTGTTTAGAAAGACGTAATTAGAGACAAATATTTGTCAATAAAGCTGTCGAACATTGGACAGCTTTATTGATCTCAACGGGAAAAATACACGTAATTCAACCATCTGTAGATGACAGGACATATCTAATCTACGGACGACGGCTTTTTTATATAAACTTCAAATAAAAATACGTATATACTTGAAACTACCTGAGCTACATAAAAGGTAAAATTGTGATAGAGAAACGAATACTTCCTAATCCCCGCCAAACTCAGTAGCACAACCACCGTTAACGTTAAACAAGGATCCATGAATTTCTTACTATGTCCAATAAACTAGTTTAAAAAGTTGTTTTTCAATAAATATTACCAGACCACAGACTTTGGTTTCTACACATTTTTTATTAGATGAAGTAATTATTTATTGCCTGGATAAGGTAGACGTCTAGTCTATCTTTTTCATTACTCCTAGAGAAATCAGCAATAACTTCGTTATAGTTAGAGCAATCATATCAGAATGATTGGCAGGGGTCCTCGCCTAGTGACGATGTTTGCTTATAGTTAAAACATACTTTCCCTGACTGTCTTCGACGTAACTCGCTTGAGGGCAATTTTTGCACTTCCAGACATGTTGTTTTAAACATCCTGAGCACAAATGATTTTAAGACGGACCATTATCCGAATGTAGTTGAATTCCAAGGAACTGTAGTAGCATGAAGCCTAGCGCATGACAAAATTTACTCCTTCTGTCTTAAGTAGGCTATCCTTCCTCATTCTCGATGGCAAATCTTTGAATCTTGTGACGGATCACTCTACTAACCATCCCTGTTGCTACAGTCATCACACCAGTGATCTCCATTATGTGGTTAGTCAAGTGAGATATGAAGATAAGATGGAGAGTTTAGGCAAAAAATCATGTACTTTGCCTTATCTAAGGCCAAATTACATAACACAAAAGTGCTTTTACAGTACATGGGCGTAGCTCGGATTAGAACATTATTCAAAATAATCTGGGATGTCGGAATTTGGGTTGAAATAATTCGAATTTCTTTTTGACGTCTGACTTTAGATCGCTTGTATCACAGATGCAAACTGCGAAGCATCTGACTCCAGTGTTTGGTTACTTCTGTGATTAAGTTATCCGGGATAAATATCGTGTAGTATACTTATAGGGTTAGCCATGTTCTGAAAAGGTGATACTCGAGAACCCCATGTGAAGTGTTTTGAGAATATTATACTCTAAAAGACGGATCAAAGCTTGAATAGCTTACATATATTTCAAAGTGACTAGTAAGATAACTAAATTTGCATAGATATAAGTATTGTGTAGAAAATACAAGTTCTGGGAGCTTTTTGTACCACTCTGAGTCAGGGTATGTGTAAATCCAATTCACTTTAATTTTCGTGTGACGATAATGTATTTGTATAAGGTTTTAGTACAAACTGCTGACCGTGTTAGTTGGAAAAAGCACGGTCCAGGCGTTTTTATGAATAATACTTGCATTTACTACATTAGTATTCATTCATTTCCTCATTTCACATAGGCACATAAGCACATTAACCAATATATTTTATCACAACATCAAAAGTATCATCAACAACATCGCACCTTTAGAATACTGTAAACCTGCGTTCTCCAAAGATCTCTATATACCGGTCAGTACAAGAAGACGTCTTCAAAGACATTGTACTCAATTCCACAACTTAAATGACTTTTCCTCTTTAGTAACGATGACAGAAATACTTGTCCGAACAGATGCAATAAGTAAACAAAAAGCAGTAGCACAGGAAAAACGTGCAGTTGAACTTAATAATAACTCCCCTGCACTCACCATACTACTCCAAAATAAACGCTCTAAACCGAGAGGGAGTATATTCATTAAACGCAAACAAAAATACGAAGATCCTAAACTTGTCACAGAATTATTTAGTGAACATTTTTGTTTCTCACTAACTAACGAAAAACCATTTAATGATTCAGAACCAATCCCAGTAACTCCCTGTGAAATTACTAATGTAGAATTCAGTGTACAAAATATCTCCAAGGCAATCAGTACATTGAAACACTCATACACTGATGGACCAGATGGTATTCCATCTAGCATGCTAAAACGTGGAGGTGATGATATGTGTGTTTTGCTTCTCAAACTATTCGCGATATCACTCTCTTCAGCGTGTTACCCCACTGCCTGGAAAACTACACATATCATTCCCAAAATTAAAACAGGACTTGAAGCAAACGTTGAAAATTACCGGCCTATAAACATAACTTCAGTGGTATCCAGAGTGATGGAAAAAGTAGTTAAGGCGGCTGTAGTCCAACATCTAATAACTAATAATCTCATCTCGACCTCCCAGCATGGATTTCTTAGGTCTAGATCATGCGATACATGCCTAGTAGACTACCTGAATGATATAACTCTGAAACGAGACAGCGGACTCCTTGTGTCAGTTCTATTCCTAGACTTTAAGAAAGCCTTTGATAAGGTCCAAGACAAAAGGCTACTCGTCAAACTAAAGTCCTTCGGAATACACAACCCACTGTACTCATGGTTTGCTTCGTTCTTAACAGAACGTAAACAGATGGTAAAGTACAATGACTGTCTCTCGTCCCCTAGACCAATCATCAGTGGAGTCATTCAGGGAAGCGTATTAGGTCCACTTTTGTTTCTTATGTATATAAACGATATATGTGACACTATAGAATTTGGGAGACCATACTTATATGCTGATGATCTCAAAATAGTATACAGCTATAAGCCTGAGACACTAAGCGAAAGTGTATCCCAGATCCAAAAGGACCTCTATAACTTAACTATATGGAGTGAAAAATGGCAATTACCATTAAACCTCAACAAGTGCGGGATCATGCACTTTGGAAAGCATCCCTATAAACCGCAACTTCACTTAAATGAAAGTAGAGTCCAAACACTCGAATCAGTACACTATTTAGGAATTAATTACACAGGAAGCCTGAACTTTGAAAAACATGCCTCCTCTATTATTTCTAAATCTAGACGGCTAATTGGCTTTATAATGAGAAACTTTTTCACAACAGAGGGTAAACTTACTCTCTACAAAATATGTGTACGACCCTCACTTGAATACTGCTCTTTTGTCTTCTCTAATATGAATATCACAGACAAGATAAGAGTAGATGTTCAAATACGTTTCACATGTCAACTACTAGGATGTAACTCGAATCTCGATTACACAGTCAGATGTAAGCATCTATCTTTAGAACCTTTATGGCACCGTAGGCTAAAAAAGAATTTAATATTTCTCTACAAAGCGATATATGGGCTCTCCTTTCTAACCTCCTGCCTGAGCATCACCCACGACCCAGCCTATAGACTTAGAAACAACGCATATACACTACTTACCGTAAAACACCAAAAACAAATGCGTTGTAAGTTCTTTACAGTACGGTACCGTTTATTGTGGAACAGGCTGCCAATGCCTATCCGTAACTGTGATACGTTTACCAGATTCAAAAACCTAATAATCCTATTTCTAGACTCCAAAGAGCTTCAACATTTCCTTGAACTCCCGCCCACCAATGAGGCACTTTATTACGGACCGCCTAGTATCTAGAAAGAACAAAATTATAACAAGTCCGACTGTTACTAATATGAATATAACCAAATCACAGAATATATGGCTTATCCTTTCCTATTATTCATTGTTTATTAATCATGACTTCATGCTCCTAACCCTAGCTTTCAGTTCCCAAATCTCTACAGGTTAAATGTACATTATTCTTCCTAAAAGTCATGCCTTTTTTTCCACTGCAAGTAGACAGATAGCTCAATCTTATGAATGCTGATCTACTAAGGCCGACCATTCAAAGTTCAAAATTTGGCCACAACGTCTTGTGAGTTTCTCAATGTTTTATTTGTCTTACCCTGAAATCTTTTTTTTTCTTTCTAAAATTTTATACCCTCTCATATCTTTTGATTTGCTATTAGTCCTTATTTCTTTAAACCATTAGTTATTTTCATAGCAGTGTGATATACTATGTGGACATCTAACCCATAAAACAAAATTTTTAACTATCTGATTTGCTTGTAACATGGACCTAGTAGAGAAAGTGTTTTCCAACTATGGGCTTTGATTAAAGCAGTATTCATACTTACCACAAACGTAAGAGAGCCTAACATCAAAAAAGGAGGGAGGGTGGCGTTACTGACCAGCCAACATGATGGTGGGGAGATAACTTCAATCCACCCATGTCTGTAGGGCAGAACATTTTGTTTAATTACGGCTCCTTATGGTTTAGTGGGATGCCACGAACTTGTGGTATTGAAGCTGATTTATCACGCAAAATACCTCTTTAAGTCGTGTTACGAACGTTGAATTGGTTTCACTTCCTACCCAGAAATCCTATTACAAGCAAACTAGACAATTCGCTAATATACGAAGCCTAATCACGACCCTATAATAACTGGGGGAAAAATATTTTAAAAAACGAAAGGGGCTCTAATAGCTTCGATAAAAAAGATAGCCAAATGTATATCAGAATACTGTTTCTAGCACTATATTTTATTTTATAATCACACATAATCCTATACTCTCAGCTCTTTTCCGAATCGCCCCCATTTGTCAGTTGTATGTCCACTTACACCTTGTAAACACTTATTTTCTTTAACCTATTAAAATGCTCTTTCTTAACATATACCTTAATAAAGGAAAATTAGACTGAGTAATCATACCTTAAACATTCCTTCATGAATATTGACAACTCTGCCTCTCGTGTTTTCTTTTACTTGCTCCCTCTTTCAGCCTCCTTGAGACATGGAACTGGTGACTTCATCCTGCACCATCCTTAAAGCCTTGGATATCCCAAAGGGACATAAGGTTGCGATTTCTAAAAGCTCATACCTTCAGTGGACCTATCCTTGACCATCAGTCGCACATTCGCAACGCAACTTTCATGAATCGCGCCAACTGTGGTACTGATTCAAACCATCTACATTCATATCTTATAAACTATCAGCCCAGCTATGTAATTTATTACAGTGTATATTGTATCATTTGTATCAATTTGATCTTGCCTGTAAACTGGCATGCCTCATGTAACAAACTGTTATTTGAGAATAAATTATTATTATTATTATTATTATTATTATTATTATTATTATTATTTGACCTAATAGCAGTGTGATATAGTAAATGTATTTTCATCTTGTAAAGCAGAAAGTTTAACTGTCTGATTTGCGCGTAACATTGAACTAGTTGAGGCAGTGTATTCTAACAAGGCGTGCAACATGGAGTCTAGATTAAAGCGACATTCACGCAAACCGCAGACGTAG